GGACTCGATCCAGGGACTCCAGGATCATGACCTGAGCCGAAGGCAGTCACTTAACCAACTGAGCCACCCAGGCGCCCCTGAAGTGGTAGGATTTAAGTGAGTTTTCACTGGTCGTCTTCTACCTAATTTTGCTCCAAAACAATTGTTTCTGACTTCTCTACTGCCACCAATGTTTTATCCCCTCTACTCCACTGATCCAAATTGTGCTTAGTTCTGCTCAGATCGACTCTTTCTAATACCACCATTACGACCACAAGTGAATTCTCTTTATGATTCGACATTTAACAAGGGTTCTTGGCAACTTGTATAGTCCTTGACCTTGGGATGCTTAATCATTTGCCGAGCGAATCTCCTTCATTTACCTGTTCCTCCAATTAAGAGTAAGTCATCTCTTACAAGGAAACCTTTAGAAGAGGGTTACTTTATTCCCCCACCTTACTGAGCACAATGATTCACAAGGATGATACATACTGCAGTCCACTACAACTGCTAGAGCAACATACAACAATAAAAAACTGTATTACTGATCTCACTTGTTTCTGAACAGTGAGAGCTGCACACAGACTTACCGGAAAGGTCCATCTGATTTTTCTGAGTGAACTGATATGGAGACTGTCGCAGTTATATCAGGTACAGGAGCTGGGGTAGAAGATGAATTTCCAGGCACAGGAGGGGCCAAGGAAGACGGGTTAGAAGTTAATGAAGACATAGAAGGAGCTGGGTGAGTTGATGAAGATGTCACTGGAATCATCAGAGGATCCTGTTGTCTTGATATTGGGGATCTCATCAGAGGTTGTAGGTTCCGCTGGATGAGTGGTCTCGGAGGTGGTACTGGGGGTGGTGGTGGGGGTAACTGTTTTCGTAGTCTTTTTGTATAACCAGTTTCATTTTTGAAGTTATTAACAGCCTATATATACCAAACAGAAAAATGCAGGAAAATGTAAGGCTGTATTTACTCAAGTACAGTTTAAATAATCAAAAAAAATTTTTTTAAAAGATTTTACTTATTTATTTGACAGAGAGACAGCGAGAGCAGGAACACAAGCAGGGGGAGTGGGAGAGGGAGAAGCAGGCTTCCCGCTGAGCAGGGAGCCCGATGC